AGACTCTAAATCCTGGTACCCCCAAAATCTCCAGGAATTGACTGGGGTCAACTCAACCAAAGCAGGGGGGCTGCCCGGAGAGACCCCAACTTCTCTCTGAGCAGGGACGGGGGATGTCACCCCAGATTGATGCCGTGACCCTGCCCGGCTCTGCCACGGTGCAGGATGGAGCCTCCCCTGTGGACACATCGGTGCTGCCCACCCCCGCGGGCTTGCTCAGGTGCCCCCCAGGAGGCCCCCAGCTTGCTCAGCTGCCCCCCAGGAGGGTTTGGGCAGGGTGGGAAGTGGGGGGACCTCGGGGTGCCCTCCCCACACCGATGCTCCTGGCAAGGCCGACCTGCTGACAGCAGCACCAGGGACTCAGCACCGTGCGATCAGGCCGATGGGACCCAAATCTCTGCTCTGAGCCACTCTGAGCCCCCTCTAGCTGGCTGAGGGGTCAGTGCTGGGACCCCAAAGCAAACAGGGGTGCAGGATAGGCCCCGCCGTGCCGTGGGCTCCGATGGGAAGGCGAGCCCATGCTGGGGAGCAGAACGGCTGCCCCAAAACCAGGCAGCTTCGCCTCTCCTCACCCCCCTGCGCCCACCGTGTGCTCTCCTGACTCTGAGCTGGGTGACACGGGGGGGTCCGGTGCTGCTTTCCCCACACAGCCCCCCCACGAGGGGCATGGGCGCTGCGGCCGGCCGGTGCTGCGTGCGCCAGCGCTGTCATCGTTGATCCTTTCCGAGGGCTCCAGCTCTTTTCCTGCCCCGGCTCTGTTTTTCAGCTCTGATCTCCCAGACAGTTGCCACCCACAAAGGAGAGGGCACAGCACGAACACCAAGCGTCTGGAGAGCGCGGCAGACACACAAGGCAGATTTACAGCAGCGTGAGGGGTTTTGTGCCTCGGCCAAGCGCGGATGCTTCTCCCTTCCAGCTGCCCGGGGATGGCTCAGAAGTGGTGGCACAAATCTCTCATCACACGGTCGGGTCCCGCTGCCTTCCCCGGCTTGCCCGGGCTGGGGGTGTCTCGGCTGCATCAAGTGAACTCGTTGTCCTCCTCCAGCATCTGGATCCCATAAGCCAGCACTCGGCCGGGCGGGCAGGAGCCTGGGAGCGAGGGCAGACGCACGCTCCGCCGTGGCGGGGACGCCGAGCAGCCTGCCCGGGAGACATGGAGGGCACTGCTCTGTCCTGCCCGCCCGGCCTGGGGCAGCCCCTGGGGCACTGAAGGGATCTCCCTCTAGTTTTTTGGGGCCAGACCTGCCTCCGGAGCTGCTCCCAGGCAGCGGCCTCGAGAGAGGAGCGCCGCCATTCCCTGAGCCCATCACCATAGCCACAGGGCTGCCGGCTCGCGGGAACGGGTGCTTGGGTAAAGCCAGGAGGCCAAGAGCTTTTCTGGGGTGCTGTTGCCTTCCTGCTCACCTCACAAGACAGGGCACCCCCAAAGCGCTGGCGCTGCCGTCCCTGCTGCCAGGACCCGCCGTGTGCCGGGCAGGGCTGGGCACGGGCACGGTGCCGCGGGCACCCATCCAGCCCCACGCCGCAGGACTCTGCGCTCCGGAGCAGCCCGTCCTCCCACGCCAAACTTGCTGCATCAAACTGTCACCAGCTCTCCGGGTTCGGAGCCGGAGCAGCCCGGCAGGGAGGGGAACATCCCCAAAATCGATGCCACCTGGCGCCCTGAAGCTGTGAGTCGGGGCCTGGGCGGGGGTGGAAATCAGCCACTCCATGCTGTCAGCAGGAAAATATTATTTATGATCGATGGTGCTGAGATGAAGCCGCTCTCCTGGCTCCCTGGCCCCAGACTCAGCACGCACATCTTCTGCTATTGCCCCTCTTTCTCCATCTTTTTTTCTCTTCCCCCCCTCGCAGCCCTTTCGTGCGCCGCCCTCGGTCCCTGCCACGCTGGCGGTGCCGGCCGGCGCGTCCCCCGGCACACAGCGAGCCCACAGCTCCGAATCCCAGAGCTCGGCACCGCTGGGGCCGGCGGCGGCTCAGATCTCCTTCCAGGCCCGGCAGATCGGTATCTCATGCAATCCCCCGTTCTGCCAGTTATTAAGCGGAGATTTATTAGACCAGCTTTGGTCCAGCCGGTTGCATCCAAAAATTACATCATCCGCTTCCTGGTTCCCATCACCAGCCCGGCTGGACCCCGCGCCAGGGCCGGGTGCTGCGGGAGGTGCTGGGGACCCCCGCGACAAGGAGCCCCCAGCTCGGGGGGCCGCGGTGCTGCCGCAGGAGCAAACGTCTGGCCACAGAGGAGGACTCTGCCCTGGGGTGTCTTCCACAGCTTTGGCCATCAGAAATCCCCCGGGTGATGCCCTCCAGCTCCGCCAGCATTCGGGGCATTTTGGGGGCTCGGAGGTTTTTGTAGGAACCTCCCCTGTGGGTCTCATTCACGACTGCGCTGTGGGAAGCCCCGGCCGTGAATTTCCCTTTGCGAGCGGCGGCAGGACGGGAGCCAGAGCTCGGCCGCCTCGTCCCGCCGTGACGGCTCCCGCCAGTGCCTGTCCCAGCCCGGCAGTGCCGGGGGACACAGGCTGGTCCCAGGTGGCCTCGGGGGCTGCTGGATGGGAGCTGGTCCCCGCCAGCCCCGCAGCCAGCCCCAGCGCCGGGGCTGCTCAGCACATGTGCCCGAGACGGCGGCTTTCTCCAGAATTACAGAGTTACAGCCACCGGCTTCAAAACGCTGTGGAGGTGACAGCCGGGCTCGCTGGCCACCGCTGGACCACTGTCCCCCCTCTCCCACGGGTCCCTCGGGACTGCACGGCGTGGTCAGTGCTCACCTCCCGGGCAGTGTTTCCTCATGCGGCACTTCCTCGTCTCCAGCAGCGCGGGGCAGGCGGCCCCCTCCTCCCGGGTGGCCCCCGGCACCTCCCGGACCCGCGTCTCCACACCCCACTTGCAGCCGCAGGTGCGGCCCTCGTGGGTGCAGGCGCTCCACTCGCTCCACGGCCCCGGCTCGCACGTCTCTGCGGGGGACAGGGGTGTGGGACGGGGACAGTGACCACACAGCGCCGGGGACATCCCCCAGGAGCGCGGGCAGGGGGGGGCGGATGCTCCTTACCTTGGCACTCACGGGTGCCGGGCTGTGCCGCAGTGCTGGGGGGGCACTGCCGAAAGCATTGGCCCTTGTGCAAGTAAAACTTGTCTTTGCACTTCATGCAGAAGTCTCTGCTGAAGCAGCTCTCGCAGCTGGGCGACCTGCACTCTGCCAGGAAGGAGGGCTGGTCACCCCGGCGAGCCCGAGGGCCGGCACGTGGCGAGCCCGGAGCTGGCAGCCCCAGTACCCGCTGGGGACCCAAAGCCCTTCTGTGGGGTCGGGGCTGCAACTCCGGGCAAGAGAAAAGGGGAGAAACCTGACGGCCCGGCTGCCCGCGGCTCTCACCGCGCTGCCCCCGGCTCCGGGCTGCCGGGGATGCTGCGGGAAACGCAGCCGTCCCCCTTCCCGTGGCGCTGGCACCCAGAGGGGGTACGGGGGGCACTGGGAGGAGCTGGGAGGGGG